TATTCAATGACATGTAAATGAGTTGCGGGGTATTCTGAAGTTGCTCCTAAAAATTAAAGATCCCCATATTGAAAATCAAACAGTTACTAAGTACAGGTAACAGTAAGATATAACCATAACTCTCCGCATGAGGAATCCTCGCAATTGCAATATCAAAATCGTGATAACCCCTGCAACCGGCAGCGGACTTGAAAGAAATCCAGTCAAGTTCAAGAATCTCGCTTGATGTGCCATTCACCTGGTTGAATCGAACCACATCTCACGGCACAGTTTTGGGCCATCGTAACTGATTTCGAAACAAACTTACCTTCAGAGAGAAGTGCAGTAGCTACTGAAATGAAGAGAATAAGGATCGTGTCAGCCAACATTTTCACGATCCAAATCGTTACACCAAGATGGCGGAGACGCAGCGAAAATAATTTATGCTTGAGCCTGCATACACATACAGCCAACAAGGTGTTAGCAAAATATCATGCGCGCATAATTCTAAATTTTCCCGGGAAAACTACCACGAGGGTCTTGCCAAAAATTTCGTTTTAGCGAGCAAAGTGTTTACTTATACAAACAAGGAGAACATTTAGCGATGCCTTGCATAGAGGACTGGCTCACTGACCCCCTCAGTGTTATTGAAGGAATATTCAATGAATCAGGAAGCCCAGATCATGAAAAAGTCGGCGAGTTTTTCTCGAGTCGATTGCAGAAGAGCGAAGCTCTCCTACGAGTTCCTTCTTTGAATGATATTCCAAGTCATCTTTTGAAATCAAAGAATTTAGTTAGATTCCGATGCATGGTGCAGGACATGTTCGATCCTGAGTTCTACCTGGCCGTGTATGAAACCGTGAACAAGGTGGACAACTCATCGAAATTGCGGTGTGGAATGTACCAAGATGTCGTCAGATGTCCTGAAAATTTTGAACTTCGCCTAGAGTCACCGAAGAACGTAACCAAAGAGAGGCATATATTTTACTGCGTACCGATACCAGGAGAGACTGACTGGGCGAGAAAAGCATTTGCAGGGAGAAGAGAAGCTTCAAACTCCGAAGCACAAGCCTCTGAGCGGAAGAACACAGTGCTCAAAAGAGATCTCGAGGAAGACATGGACGATGAAAATACCCCAGCTGTTCAGCGTGGTAAGTGCCTTTATCACTGCTTCAAGAGCGGTCCCTTTTGAATCATTAATTTCAAACCACGATAAACACACAAACGAAGAAACTATCAATTTTTAGTTCCCTCTATGTTCAGTAGGATATTTTACTGAATTTATAGGCAAAATGATGGGAAAGAAAATTGTGTTTACAATAGCAGTAATTCATATTTACACCTGACAAGCTAAATTAATTGCAATCTTTCCATAAGCCTCTATTCCAAAATAAACCAGATCTTGAATAGATTCAATTATCAAAATGAAAAACAGTGGATTAAAAATTGCTTTTTAGCTATATACACAAATTAAAAAGGGTATATTTGAAAATGTCATGGCATCGCATATCTTGCTTCTTGCTTCTCTGCACCTGGTATTTCCCATTCCAATGTCTCAAGTCCATTAATACCTAGCCTGAGGGGCTAGCATAGAAGGTTCCAGATCACAAAAATTCCCCCCTCCCTCCTACCTTTTGGAATTTAAAAGGCAATATGTAAATAGGCTCTGAATTTTATTCACCTTCTCTTTCAAAATAAGCAAAATCTTCCTATAGAATATGGGTTTTATCTCAAAGAGGATAAACAAACTACAGTTGTTTTAAAGAGTTGGTTTGAGCATCTCAGAAAGGATTGTTGTTTCTCTCAGAATTGGTCTTCATATTATTTCCCCCACCCTGCCCCTCTACCTCTTACCCCATGCCTTTCATTATTACCACCCTTAGAATAGCACCCTAATTTAAATTCATTTCCTCCTGTAGGGTGGCAAGTGCCTCATGATGCCTGCAGTGATGATGCTAAAAGATCAAGACCCAGTGACACATCAGGTGGTAGTAATGTTCCAACCCATCAGTTAAGCACTGATCTAAATTTTCCTCTCCCGAACGAGCATGGCCCAGCTTGCCTTGTCCATGTCTATGATCAAGAAAGTACTCTGAAGGTAAACGACATGGTAGAGTTCATTGGTGTGTTGTCAGTTGATCCTTGTCTTGCTGTGTTCAATGATGATGATATGGGAGATGGTAATGAGCAAGGGCCATTAGGCCCTGCCCATGATGACTTAATCACTCCAGAGGAACAAGCTGTTCATCATCCACCTCCTTCATTAGTGCCACGGCTGCATGTGTTAGCATCTCGCAATCTAGTCCACTCTAACCCATCTATCCCCAGCAGCATTACAGGAGAGGCATCTGTTCCTATTTTGCAGCAGCTTGCTGATGTAAGAGGTGAGTTGGTGTCTCTGCTGACCCAGCTCATGAGTGGTGATAGCCTAGCTGCAGAGTACTTGCTCCTCCATTTGATTTCCTCAGTTTACAGCTGGACAGGAATAATGCCTGTTGGAAAGTTTACTTTAAATGTCAGTGGATGTCCATCCTCAGACTCATTTCCAAGAGAAATGCACAAGCTTGTGGAGTACCTTGTACCTAAGTGTCATTTCCTGTCCATGACCTTAAACAACATGAACTCACTGAACTTTGTCCCCAAGAAAGACTACACAGCAAATCGTCTTAAGAGCAGCATCCTTCAGTTGTCCCAAAGCACCAATTTGATTGTGGATGAGACAGCTTTGCAAGCAGGCCAACTGAATGCAAATGGTGTCAAAAATGTCACAGCCCTGGGAAATGTCATCTCCTGGCAGAAACTGGAGTATGACTTCAATTTTTACAAAGCAGACTTCACCACCAATCTACTGATACTGATCCTGTCAGAAGGAAAGTCACTGCTTCCTGCAGATTGTCACGTGGCTCTCAGACCCCACCAACCACCCCAACCTCTGGAGAGGGCTTTGAGCAGGATCTCAGCAGTCACCATGGAGCGCATGCGAGCATTCTTGGGTGTAGCACGTCTGGCAGAGTATTCTTTGTCCTCTGAGATGCAGAAGATTCTTCAGGATGACTTTGTGAAAAGCAGGCAAGAAAATCAGAGCAACATGACAGCTGAGGACTTCCATCTCTTGCTTTTGTTGTCACGGCTCATGTCTCTGAGTCACGGGCAAAGCACCTTAACACCTGAGATGTGGAACCAGGTTAAACAGATGGAAAAAGAGAGGAGATCTAGACTTATCTGTTAGTTCTCAGCACTAAGTTGATTTACAGGTGTTATGTTTATCCACTGCACAGAGCTAGCCTGACTGAGCCCTGCAGAAATTGAAACCTATGTGTTTATTGATCATTGTCCAAGATGATAATGCTATAAAACTTGAGGTAATATGCCTGTTCGTGTATAAGTTTTAGATGCATAATACTGACTTTGATTGTTTTGCTGGATATAAAACCCACCATTTTGTATTATTGGCATAAATTTTATTCAACCTTCATCCTCTTTTAATACATGTACATGTCAACCAGTGATTTAACAAACATGACTGTTGATACCATCTTCATTTATTTCATCATTCTGTATAGCATTACATATTGAAATTCCTATCCTGGCAGTATGCAGGAGGTTTGTCATTATGGACCTAATTAAACAGCCCAGCCTGCTACGGGTCTCCAATAGTTCAGTGGCAAAGCACCCAAAGTACCAATTAGATAGTTGTGGTTTGGACCCCTATTGGCTGCACTCGGCATTCTTTTTCTCCAAGCATGGCTGTGTCATTTACCGACTAACATTACTGTAAATGGCTTTGATATTCAACAAAGTTTAACGATTGTACAATATAACACTTAATTTGGTTTTACCAGTACTCTGATCTGTAAAGGGTATTAGTGGCACCTAAAGTGTACATCTACTAGTCCCTAATGCAAGTAAATGAACTATCAGGGAATTGAAACGTTAATAATGAGTGTTATCATATGAGTTGTATGTCCCTGCACAATTCTGTGTTCAGTCCTTACGTCATGACCTTGTCCAGCCCTCCCACTCAGTCAATAGTTTATATTAACTTACCAGAGATCAAACGCACTTCACTAATCCATGATTATTTCTAGCATTATATAAATATCTCTCATCCATGGAAAGGTCTGTGGGCATGGAGGAACAGGACATGAGTTTTATTACCATTTTACTGAGGCAAAGCAGAACATGCTCATGGAACCTTGTAAGAAGCAAAGATTCAGTAAGCCATTGAGCTGAGAAGTTTTACAGGCAGGTCATGTCCCTAGATGTGGTCTGTGTCTTCATGTAAATCCAACCATGCGTAAAATTTAATTCTGCATGTACAAAATGGTCATAAACTGAAGCTCTGCTTTAACCCTTTAACTCTCATAATCTGTGTTAATTCTCCCCTGTAGCTGCTACACATCTCCTTGTAAATTAGTTATAAGAACTTGGTGCTAGATCAAGATAGCAGCTTCTACCTGATAAGTTTGAATATTCTCATTAGCTGTTTGTTGAATAATGTATGGATATTATAGGGAGAAATTTCCTGTCAATCACCTCTGGGAGTTAAAGGGTTAAGGTTTTGAGAGAAAAGACCCAGAGAATGGAAATTTGAATGGACATAACACCTAAATGCACTGACTTGAATTTCGTGATGGGAATCTTGTTTTCCATGAATCCGTGAGCTGTTAAGAATAAAGGCTTTAGGAAAGAGTTAAGAAACAACGACCAGGTTTTACTTTCAGTGTTTTCCGTAACACTTGAACTTTCCCAACGTATGATAACCGTGTTCATTAACGTTGTTTTTTGCTGTTCCGGAATCTCCAAATTTCAGTTGTTTAACTGGCAAATGTAATTTGTTTGTGAGTAGACCTGTGTCTTCCCGCCATGTGTTATCGTTCATGTCACAGTTACAGTAATTTATTTTATTGTTATTATTTGCGCGCTGTTGGCAAGAGTTGTCCATTCCACATGCGCATTTGCGTGGGTTAAATACAGATCCATTCCAGTAAGTCATGTTCATGGAATCACGTGACACCCACCAGGCAAAGTCTCTGTTCTTATACATCCTTACATGAAAACACTCAAACTTAAACTGTTGTTCGCAGTGCAGGGAGACGTTGGTGAGGCTCGCTAGCTGAGGAAAGCTTGCTCCTGTGTAGACGATCTCGCGTGAGTAACAACCCTCTGGGTCACATCCATCCACCAGTGTTCTGCTTTCGCTGTCGTGACTTATAACTGTCACGCCAACTCCGTTCTTGTCAGTCATGTTACAGGTGACATTATACGGCATCAGTCCTCCATCACCGTCAGGATCAATGACGTAATTGCCACTTTTTGCTTCAGGGTGAATTATCCTCAGCTCGCTGCAAGACTTGACCGCTAATGAGAAGAAAAGATGTGATACATTTTAATATCTTCTGCTGAGGTTAGCATTACGCACGCCTTGAGCGGAACAGCAGCGCCCTGCGCACAGTAATTCCTCACAAAATAATCATAATTGCGTTTACGGGGACTATCTATTCTAGCCAAAGAATAGAAGTATATTTGTTTTACAACGAGGAAGTCGCCATTCAGCTTAAAATGAAGAAAAATTCAGGTTAGCCCATTGATTTATCAAAGGAAGACTTATTTAGTGTCTCGAGACCAAGGGTTGTGATGATAAAATTATGATAAACGGGCACTGACCGTGATTCCCATCCTTGGTTTCTTAGAATCTATTCTGAATTGATCCTCAGTCCCGTAACCTTCGCCCTCGATCGTGATCTTCCAAGTATATGGTTATGCGTCGATCTGATTTGAAGGTTCAACAACTCCCCAGCATTCCCAGGAACTTCTGAGCCATGTGCTCGCAAAAACGAACTTTTTGCTTTTAAACACCTCCATGTTTTAAGTTCAAAACGCGTATTCCGTTGAAAAAGACTTGACACTTTTGGTTCAAATTTCCCAACTCAGCCAGGCGAGGTTTAAATTCCTCCCCCCCTCACCCACGGGCAGGGACGACAGTCAAATGCCCGTGGGTTGCCCAGTGGGCGATGCTAAAACTTCCACTTTATGACAATGACTATGTTCGCTCATTTATATTACCTTCACATTCTATTCCTTGGAAAGCAGATGGGCAAATGCAACGAAAACCTTTATTTGTAAATCCAGCTTGACAGGTACCTCCATTATAACATGGGTTGCTATCGCAAGGATTCTGTTAAAATTTATCGTCATTAAATAATAACTCAAACGTCAAAGTTATAAATATAAACGTATCAACAACTGCTTTGTTACTATCTTTAAGAGAAAATTTCGGGTGAAAACACGCTCATGTTGAATGAAATTTAAAATACATCTGAACCAATCAGACTAGACATGTTATTTGTATTTAATTTAATTACTCCAGTGATAATAGAAATGCGCGCGCTCTGATTGGTGGAACATTGCATCATATCTCGTTATAATCACCTTGCGCGAGGTGATCATAGCAGGGGCGCCAAATTTCAAGGTGGCTGCCTCACGTTTTGGAAAATTTAGCTCGAGAGGTGATACACCGAATAGAAGAAAATAAAATTCTGCACAGCAATAGAGATTGTTTTTGCTAATTGAATTGAATAAACCCGTTAAATTCTAGTGGAAAAGTGCTGCTTATCTGCTTAGCCGAGCAATCATACTAAAAACATTATTCGCCGAAAGTGAAAAGAATATCATTCAACAACATCCACTTCGCCGTCGGCGAATAATTGTTGCGAATAATAGTTGACTCCAGCGGCTAAATGGGAAAATTCCAATATAAAAGATAGCCCGTGAAAAAAGAGTTTCGCACGGAACTTTAATTAACTGGTTAACTGTGCTGGAAAACTTTTACGTTTGTTAGCAGATGTGCGCATCTCATTAATGTGGTGTGCTGTTCTTCTTTTTGCGTTATCTTCATTTTTTAAAATATTATTTAATTTTACATCTTGAAATGGTGCTGTTGGTAAGAGGCGTAGACAACTTTATATATCGCGATTTTTGGCAAATTTTACACTGATACCATTTTAAAAAGTCTTGAGCCATCACATGCAGATCACACTGGCGTTTTCAGTCATCGAATCGAATTTATCTGTAATGACCGGCTTTGTATATAAATTTTCTTATCCTTTTGATTTTGTTTTTTTTCTGCTTGTTTTAGGTTGTTTCTATGGGCTGCAATGTTTTAGCAGCAAAGATGGTGTCGTCTCAGGAACAGCTCAAAGATAACTTTGATCATGAGTGTTCCATTCATAAAACCTATAAACCACCTTCTTAATTCGCACGCAAAAATAAAAAAAAGAAAGAAAGAAAAAGATAATAAGCTCCAATCTAGTGACTGAAATGCTTATTTACCTCAATAGCTCGGTAATAACTGTCGGCTACTTCCTGAACGACAGTTAATTGGTCTACATCAGCTGTGGCGTTATTTAACTCACACTTGTATTTCCCTCCGTAAGAAGGTCTAACATTGATGGACACACAATCAGGCTCCATATAACACATCACGTGGCACTCTCCTTCATAAGGTAGTTCTAAAATCTTGATCACGTGGCCCGTAATCACTTTGTTTGGTATTGGTTCCATGAATAAAATGTCGCGGCAGTTGTCACCTGAATAAGACCAAAGAAAGTTCCGACGGAATACGTTAATTTTCAATTTTAACTTTCCATTGCTTTCAAGAATCCTTTGTCATCAACTTTAAAATCACAATCCCTGGTTGAAATTGTACCAACATTTAAGCAATTTTATAAGCAGAGCTTTTGCATCTCATTAAGCTTTTGATGAGTGTCAGGAGCGTATAATAGCTCCTGGAAATATCTTGCGAAATTACATTTGGCAAGAATTCTTCAGATTTGGAGTTACTTCGATTTGAAACTTTCGCGAATTGATTGGCGCCTGATTCATTCGGTGAACTCAAATGGCTAAGCATACTTCAGTTAAAGACATTCTGAAAACGCTTGACTAAAATGTACAAACGCTTAAGAGGTTCTCGGCTTCGGTTATACCTCGATCCAAGTATTTAGACTTTATTTTTTAACAGTCCCATTTCTGAATTGAGAATTACCTGACAACGTGAAAGCATTTTTTTTAACTCCTATCCCTCTGGAAGCGCGATTGCGAGAAAAGCGATTTTACGACAGACTGAGTCATAAACTTCAAAAGATCTCAGTATAATTACAAAGAAAAAACTTCACTAGGGGAATTCTCCATAAGCCATTTTCGCGCTCCGAAATTATCACTGCATGTCGTTAATAGGAGGAAGTTGGCATTACTTATTTACGATTGTAAAGACAAATAAAAAAACAAAATTAAAATTTTCGAACACGTTACATAGCTAGGTAAGCAGACTTAATCATTTTTATCTAGTGCAATGTTTTAAACGGTCAAAAACTTTGGTTTCCTTGCCTTGTATTTGATGTCCTAGTTTTCATAACAGTAGATCTTTCTCGAACTGTGCTCTCGAAAACACGAGGCAGGTGTGGGATCTCGACTTCCCGTTGATTAAAGGTTCGAACGAAACAATAAGAACTCAAAACTATGAAAGCTTAGTACTATGCTTTTCTGCTTAGGTATTTATTCCTTGAGACGTTTAAAATTAAGTGCGTTTAGGAAATTGTATTCAAAGGGCTATGTTGTAGAAAATAACAAGCAGAAGTCGATGCTAACTTATTGTGTTAATTTAATTTTTTTCTTTGACTCGGTCTCTTTGAATATCGACAGAGACCAGGGCTATTTCACCTAAGAATTGTCCAACCACATTTCATCAAAATATAAAACGGTTATGAATTGAGGCTTTCGTTTTTTTTTCACTGAATTCGTGTTTCCATGCTTGTAAATAGGGCAATGAACACATCATATATTCAGTTGCTTTAGGTCATTGCTTTCTTATGACATTACTCACCAGCATCAGCGTTAACCGGTGGCGAAATGATTCCAAGTAAAATGATGAAGATAAGTGAGGAAGTTGAAAAAGCACTCTTGAAGCACATCATTCTTAAAGAGAGCTTATTTGTTCGCGTAGTTTAAACGGTATGCTGGAAAAAACACGACAGCTCCTGTTACAAGTTTATTTGTTGTGTGCGTGACAGGAATTTGTGTACTGATTTAGAGGACCACACAACAATACGACAGGTGTTTTAAGGCAAAATGCCCAAACGACTTCTCAGAAATTTCGGGACAGCCAGAGACCGTGGGTCTCGATAAAACAATCGTCGAACAGCTTCGAATCAAAGGGGAAATGTAGGGTCACTGTGTCAAAATTCCTCTATTCGCTCTGATAAAGGCTTAACGCTCGAAACGACAGCTTTGAAACTCTATAAGGTGGCCAATTTACATGATAAACTCAATTAATAAAATTTAATTACCCTGTTATACTCTCCCACCAACGCAGCACCACAATATCTTTAGAAACTTACCCCCTTTACCCCCGTAATTGTTGAATTTTAACTTCGCTTCGAACATCTTAGGCTCTTAGTAATTCACTGAAATCCTTCGAAAACCCATCACGAGCCTCTGTTTACTAACCACTCAATTCATCCTTAGGCCTGACAAGTACACTTCGCGTCGAAACGAAACCGCTGCTTTATTTTCAACTCATTCTTAGCCTCATCAGCTGAAGTTATTTCTA